GAGAGGGTCTCCCGGGACCGGAGGTGGGAACTGGGCCAGGCTTGGCTCGGAGGCCAGGGACAAGCCGGGCGCACGAGGCTGCAGACTCTCCTTTCCCGGTCTGAGGACTCCGTCCCCCGCAGCCACGACTCCGAGTGCTGGGCCTCCTGGGCCCCGTGTCTCCGGGGAGGCAGGGACCCCCGGGACCCAATGGGCTGTTTGGTTCGCTCCTGAGACGGTGCTGCGTACGCGTCTTTCAAACCCTGTGACCTCTCAGAGCTGGGCCTCTTTGCATCTGTTTCGGCATCCGCTGGGGATGTGCTGGTGAGGGGGTCCTCCACCCACAAAATTTGTCTTGATTTTTGGCGAGGGGACTGGTGGTGCATTGACGAGGAAAGCAACTCACCACGTGGGCACTGAGGCGTGCCCCCTACCCTGGCGATGTGCCCCCACCCACCTGAGTCCTTACAAGGGGCCAGGTCTTATCTGTGGCCTGGCGACACCTCTGCACTGCCCTAAGATTTTCCCAAGTGTATTCTGGCCTCAGACATGTTACAGTGGTGTTTCCTCTCCTTTCATCCCCTCAATCTCATGCCTGCCCTTTCATCACATCTAGACTGGAGTATGCTTTTACCAATTTTTAGTTTATGTAACATATAACCCAACCCCCTGCACTATTTATTACACTAAACTACCCTTTCTCCTTGGAAATTTTCATCCTATTAATTTCTTCATTCCCCATCTTCCTGACCTTTCCCCCCCATCGCAGGGTTTGCACAGACTTTATTGTCACAAAGGAGGCCCTACAGAGCAGGGCCAATGCATGTGATCCAAAGATGTCACTGTGAAGAAAAACCAAGGTCATGATGGCAGAAGAGGTCACTGAAGGACATGATCCAGGGGAGGCCAGCCAGCCAGGAACGCAGCAGATACGGTGAGAAAAAGGCCAAGGTGGCCAGGGCACAGGGCGAAGGAGGCCAGTGCCCATCCCTCTCGCTTCTTGTGGCTCTCCAGGTGTGAAGGGACCCAGCCTCGTGGCAGGAGGAAGCACAGGAAGCCAAATGAGTCCAGGGAGGACACCCCATGGGGTGGAGCAGCTTCCTGGAAGCGTGGAGTGGACCTGGGCAGGTGGCGCTGGGATCTGCCAGCCCAGCCTCCCAGGCCTGCCAGCAGCAGCAGGGACACAGTCGCATGGAGCGGAGTGTAGGATGCAGGCAGCTGGCGCCCAAGGTCATGAGGTCAGAATCCTCCCTCACTTATTAACCACAAAGGCCGCCTTGTTTTTTTGTCTTCTCCTGTGCACCACACACTTGGACTAATGTGTGGCACATAGTGGTGACTGGTGTGTGCGCATGTGTGCTAAGTCACTTCAGTTGTGGCTGATTCTTTGCAACTTCATGGATTGTGTCGCACACCAGTCTCCTCTGTCCATGGGATTCTCCAGGCAAGAATACTGCAGTGGGTTGCCCTGCCCTCCTACAGGGGACCTTCATGACCCAGGGATTGAACCTGTGTCTCTTACGTCTCCTTTGTTGTCGGGTGGGTGCTTTACCTCTAGTGCAACCTGGGAAGCCTGGTGATTGTAATAGGTGTGTTCAAAAGCAACAAATGCATACTGTAATGTTCAAATTGCCGTTTTGGGTGGTTTTAAGTTGGCTTTTTTTTTTCTATTGTGGAAGTTAGTTAATAAGTTTTGAGGGGGCACTTCCCGGTGGTCCACTGGCTAAGACGTCATGCTCCCAATGCAGAGGTTTGATATCTGGTCAGGGAACTAAGATCCCACATGCTGCAACTAAAGGCCCTGCATGCACAGCAAAGACCGCCCCTGGGCTGCGGCTGACACCTGGTGCAGCTAAAGAAAGTCAAGTCCCCAGGCCACTTAAAAGCATACTTTTTTCTTCCTGAATCCCCTTCCTTCCCACTTAAGTACTTTGCTGGAGTTAAGCTCTGTCTTATTTCTGTATTCTTCCCAAATTGTTGTGATGTGCCAGGGACTATTTCTTAATTTTGTTGTCAAAATTCCAACTTTCCCAAACAAGCAAATTACTTCAACAGAGTCCATTAAGCAGTTTTTCCATTCTTAGGCGGGATTCTCATTATAAAGAAGTCCACTTGCCAAAATCAGCACCCAACTCTCTTTCCCTTGGTGTTGCACTTAATGTGTCTGGCAAAAAATTACAAGTTGTGACTTTTTTTTCTGTGATTATGTTGTGCAGGGACATCATCCAAGTCATCATCCACATTGTAATTACAGTGATTGTAGTGAAGTAACTCGTAGGTACTTTTTAATACCACACGAAAATGATACCAGGTTTTTTCTCCCCCTACTCCTTTGAAGAGCTAGTAATATTGAATTGGCACAAAAATTTGTTTAGGTTTTGCTATGAAGATGTTACGCAGAAACCTGAATGAACTTTTTGGCCAACTCACTATGTGCTGTAGGTCCAAGCCACTGGCAGCAGTGATGGATGCTCTCAGTTGGGATACCCCAGGCACTCACTGAAAGACCTTATAACTTCATTGAGTCCTACTGCCATTCCCCCTGCACCAGGGCCAACACTGGTGCAGTACTTGTGGTTCTTACTATGACTGTAGGAAGCACTTCAACAAAATCTGTTCGGAAACTTGAGGAACAAGACATTACTGAGAGACTGTTGAGGGTATCCTGGGGGCATGCCACAGTGAGGTGGTGAAGGGAAAGGAAGCAAGCACAGACTTGAAGCTCTGCCTTTATTAGTTTCCAAGGGTGGTGGTCTCCAGGGTTTCATGATTTTCACTTGTTCTGAGTAGGTTTAGAGAGCTCAAGGGTGTATTAGGGTGCAGAAGACTGGAAGGGAGGGCTTCTTACACTGGGGCACACACAAACACTTGAATGCTTTCCATGCTATGCTGAGTGGGGGGTAGTAAAACAGATAAATCATCAGCAACTTCCAAAACACCTAGCTTACAAGCATGGGGACTGGGTGCAGTCAGTATGTTTAAACAGCTTCAGAGAGACCAAATGAACTGCATCTAGAATGTGGTAAATTCTGTTGGAATGATAGATGAAACTTATGAAACATAGAAGCTATAAAGAGGTATTTTACAAGCAGCTTGGGATACCTCAGCACTGTATTTGGTGTGAAAGTTACTTGGAACAATGAAGATTCTTTATCTTAGTCCTGAGATGTTAGGTGTTACAATCCACTATTATAGTGGGCCTAGTGGAGCTAGATGAAAGCAGAATGCAGTAAGCTGAAGCTCCCATCACTCATTCTTTTCCAGTGGTTATAACATAAGGCTTTATTTGTAACAGCCAAAACTGTTAAGAAGCCAATGTGCAGTTAGGTGGGTAAACAAACTGGGATACATCTAGAGAGGAATACTCAGCTGTGAAATGAAGTTACTTACATAAGCAACATTGTGAATTGCATGGGGAAGAAAGCACAATCTCTTTGAAAAAGTAAACAGTTTAATGATTCCAATCATAAAGTTTTATAAAACAAGCTAATTTACTGTGAAAGAGTAAAATCAACAGCAGCTGTGAGGGCAGAAGGGTGAGTTTTTAAAAGAGTACAAATGAGTTTCTTGGTAGCCTAGAGGCTAGAATCCTGGGTTTCACTGCCACAGCCCCAGATCAACCTCTGGTTGAGTTGAGATATCCCAGAAGCTATGCAGTGTGGCTAAAAAAAAAATGAAAGGGAACAAGTAAACTATTTGTTGTAGATATGTTTTTTAATAGTTTTATGGGTGTACAAGTAAACTATCATATTGTACAATTTTAATCAATTATATTTCAATAAAACTTTGTAGAAACTTGTTTTATGTAGAAATTTTCCTTTTTATTCCCATAACCAGAGCTTTGGAAACCTGCCTTTCCCTGGCAGGCCCTCCATCAGGGAAAAAATATACTGGTAAAGACTGTTTTTGAGTCAGCAGGAAGCTGGTCACAAAAGCTATATCCCTGGGCTCCAGCATCTCCATTCATCCCCTTGTCTACTCTTATTGTCTGTGCAGCATGATGCTTAGGGTGAAAAGTCCAGAGGCTATGAGAATAAACAAAGCTTTATTTGCTCTGACAATGACCTCAGAGGAAGAACACATAATGGGAGTGAACACACTCATCTAACATACCACAGTCACTGGGACATTTGTGGAGGTGCCTTTAGAATAGGCACATCCTTTCCTTGCCACAGCCTCCTCCAGTGCATATAACCACATCCAGCATTTCTGTGTGAAGTTAAGATTCTGGCTTCACCCTTGAAATCATTCAGTAACACCAGAAAACCCAGTTCAAGACCTGAAGGCACATGATTTTTGCAGTACCTGGAGCTTCTCCACAACAGTGCTCAGCATTATGTGTAATGCTGGGGAAAAGGGAACTGATTTCTATGCTTCTCATAGAAGCACCAGGTGACCTCTGGGTCCACCAAATTCCTTGCATCCAGGCCATAAACTAGGGCCCTTTACTAAAAGCTCTCTCTCTTTCCTAGGAGACTTTTGGCAGCTATGCAAGCTGGGCCTCTAGTGGAAGGTGGTAAACCTACTGCTGTCAATGTTACCCACACTTTGCTAAAATTGGATTAAGCCCTAATTTGTCAGAGGGGAAGGAATATGAGGTACACCTGAAAATTATTCATACTGTTTTGTAGAGAATGGGACAGAGATGAGACATCTCCCTCCCCTGATCAAACTGCCAGGACCGATACAAAGTGTTGAAACCTGGAAACTACTGGCTGGTAGGGCAGAGGCTTCTGCCAAAAAGAAACCAGAAGGGATGTAACAGAGCCAGCAGTGAAATATGCAGAAAGGCTCCTAAAAGCTTCCCACCAACCTACAAATTCAAAGGGACTGTTTCTGCTGTGTATGTTCAGCTGTATAATGCTCAACTTCTAGGAGATGGCCCTTCACAAAGAAACCCATATTTCCTGTTGGGCTTAGACCTTTAAGATGGTTTTGCCAAATCTGCTGCATAATTTTCTTGTTGAATACAGACACTGGCTGTGACTGGTTTTCTCACAGTCATTGAGTCATTCGTGAGGTTATCTGGTATGCAGTTTTCTGTGTTGAATGATGTGGGAGCTCTGACTAAAGGATTTCCCACATTCCCCACACTCATAAGGCTTTTCTCCTGTGTGAACTCTCCGGTGCTGAATGAGATTGGACTTTTGGCTGAAGGATTTCTCACACTCATCACACTTGTAAGGTCTGGCTCCAGTGTGAATTCTCTGGTGTTGATTGAGGGTGGAGCTGTGGCTAAAGGATTTCCCACATTCCCCACACTCATAAGGCCTCTCTCCAGTGTGAATGCGCAGGTGCTGCACAAGTTTGCATTTGTAGCTGAAGGATTTTCCACATTCAGTGCATTTATAAGGCCTTGCCCCACTGTGGATCTTCTGGTGTTGAATGAGATTGGAGCTTTGGCTAAAGGAATTCCCGCACTCACCACACTTATAAGGCCTGGCTCCAGTGTGAACTCTCTGGTGTTTAATAAGAGTAGAGCTGTAGCTGAAGGATTTCCCACACTCGCCACACTCATAAGGCCTCACTTTACTGTGAATCTGTAGGTGCTGCACAAGTCTTAATTTGTAGCTAAAGGCTTTCCCACATTCATTGCACTTATAAGGCCTTGCTGCAGTGTGACTTCTGTGGTGCTGAATGAGTCTGTAGCTTTGGCTAAAGGACTTCCCACATTCGCTGCACTCGTAAGGCCTTGCTCCTGCGTTATCAGGTCTCTGGCAATTGATAAGGAGGGAACTTTGGTTAAAAGGTTTCTCACAGTCATCACAGTCCTGGTAGTTTTTTCTAGTGAGAATCTGCTGATCCTGAAAAAGTGTGTATTCACAGCTAAACAGTTTCTCATACTCGCTGCACTTGTACTGACTTTTTCCATGAAGAAAGGGCTCTGCACACTGAAAGCTGCTCTGTGGCTTTGTCCCTTTGAGGGTGGCCTGATGCTGGAGGAGATTCAGCATAGCCAGGAAATCCTTGCTCACTTCCTCACAAGTGAAGGGCTTTGCTGATACGTGAAATCTGTAACTTCTCACACATGCCTTGTCTGTGTCCCTTCTGGATGGCTTCTCATTGCTGGGCTCTGGGTAGAGGTCAGGGCTGAACCCTGGTTGCTTCTCACACTCCTCACAGGGGTGTGAGTTTTGCTCAGGATGCAGGCCTTGGTGCTCAGGCAGCTGTAGACTGTCTCTCCTGGCCCTGACACACCCCTCACAGGGCTGAGTCTTCTCAATGGATGGGTCTGGAATTACAGTCTTGCCCCGTGATGTTTGTTCTACAGGAACACTCTCCACAGAAAATGCCACTGCCTCCTCCATTCCAAACCAACAACCTGAAAGCACAGACGTGCGGGTGAGATGCATGTCGTCTGTGGTGGAGGGGGCAGCCTCTACACAATTCTGTGTGAGACTCAGTACAGCCCATTGGATTGTTCTCAATATGAGGTTGATGTGCAGTATTGGGGCTCTGAAAGTCTTAAGAATTAGGAAGCCCTCATAAGATAAAGGATGTAAGGGGGAGGGATGCAGAAAAGAAACAAACATCCAGTTCAAGTTCTCTGCCAACACCCTTCATGAGAGCCTTGGCTGAGTGACATTTCAGCGCTATGTGTGAGTTTTATGAACAGCGGCCTGTGACAGTGGTTGGATTTTTTGGCAGCACAGTTAGAGGTGGCAGGCTCATGAAGAGGTAGCTTAGCCCAGCCCTGTTGACCCTAGTGCCTATTAGCCAGGCAATTAGGGAAAGGGTGCAGAACCTGTGTCTAAAGTGAGCAGAGTTGAGCACAAGGTGCTGGGGTGGGTGTGAGGGCCTTACCCAGTGAGGTCACAAGTGCAAAGTTCTCCAGCATCACATCGTGGTACAGGCATCTCTGATTCTCATCCAGGAGACCCCACTCCTCCCAGGAGAAGTACACAACCACATCTTCAAATGTCACACTTCCCTGCCATGATGAGGGAAAGATGAAATCAAACTCTCCCAAAGACCACAACCCCTCACCGACACATCTACCCATGCCCACCTTCTCTCCAACTCAGGGGAGATGAAAACAGACCACTGTCTGCAAAAGGGCCCACTGATCACTGGGGCCAGAAGTCATCAAGAGGAGGCACATAGACAAGAAGATATGGCACAGCTGTCAGGCAATGTCCCTAACTTGTGGATAAATCATGAATGTCTCACACTGGGGCCCTGAGACTTACTCCTGCAAATGCACATCCTTCTTAATGTGGTACATCCCTCACATCTCTAGACACCACAGCCACATGTCCCAGGCCACTATCTGACCACCCCACAGCTTAAATGCCTCTCTGGCATCCCTATAAATTATGGTAGTTCAATCATCTCCTACTTTACCCCAGTGGGGAGGATGGCATCATGTCCTATGGTTATAGAGATGACCAAACACAGGAGACCTAATGTTGGTCAGATGAGATCAACAGCAATTTATTAATCATCTACTCAGTCTGGGAGAGGAGGAAACCACACACACACAGAACCAGAGTCGGGCTACATGAATGAAAAGAGTGAACAATGATCCTCCAGGGGCAGGCTGGGAACTGAAACCACCTGAGAAGGAATGAGCAGAAAGTCCACTTAATCCCTGTGAGAAAGAAGACTGTTGGGCTAGGAGACCTTATGTGTAGGAACAGAGTGAGAAGAACCAGCACTCAGGCCATTTGAAGTCCTCATGGTTTCACAACACAGCACTTAAGTAACAATGGCTTTAATTTTAGGCTTATACCACAACCTGGCAAAAAACATCCAGAGTATACTCTGCCAATTCAAACAGGATTCCATTACTCCCAGGGACTTCTCATGACTTCCTAAGCAGCAGCAGCCCCAGATCTTTCTCTGGAGGCCTCATTACTTAAGACGCAGGTCCTTGCCTCAGACTTTGCATTCAGAACATGTCTATTCTCAGACACACGTGGCCCTCTCCACTCCTGGGCTTCAACTCTCAGCCATCACAAATTTATTCTGTTCACCCAAGCCACATTCAAAGCTCAGCCCCATGTAGTGGACCACTCCAGGCCTTGTGACTCTCACAAATGACCACATTTGCCCAGGACCTGGTGCCACTAATATCACTCTCTCTTCAGGTCCCATGAATCACTGTATCCAGTCCTCAGCCGTAAAAGGCAAGTGGGCCAATAGTTATCATCTAAGTGTAAGGCCTCGCTGGGGGTGCCTAACCCCTGCCAGTCAGGCCCCATCCCTAGGGAACCCAGAGGGTACCTCCCAGGTACAGTCACATGGGCTCAACCTGTACTTGTCAGTCCAATGCCGAGGATGTGGAATCATCAGCTCCCACTACCTCTCCACACGCACATCTCTCATCTGCAGGTACAGGTGTCCCAATCATCTCTGTGACTCATCACACAGCTTAAAAGGCTGATAAAGGGAACCCCCTACTGCTACAGCCCTGTGCAAGACCCAACCACCTGAGGCAGCCTAAAATCCAGGCCCCCTTGTCTGCCTCTGATCTGTGCTTCGGTCTCAGGCGCCAGAACCATGTGTGGATTTTAAGATACCCCATGGTCCTCTTCCCAATCTGTTTGCACTTTACGTCCCTTTGGGGTTCCCTGGTGGCTCAATGGTAAAGAACCTTCCTGCCAATGCAGAAGACATGGGTTTGATCCCTGGTCTGGTAAGATTCCCAGGAGAAGGGAATGGCTACCGACTGGAATATTGTCTGGGATATCCCAAGGACAAAGCAGCCTTGTGGTCTACAGTGGATTGCCAGGAGCCATTATGGGAGGTCCCGCCCATGACGAGGTCATGAAGAAAATACTGGGCAGGCAAGGCCGTCCGGGACCCCATCCATGAAGAGGTCACGAGGAAAAAACCTGACAGGCAAGGTTGTCTAGGATAAGGGACCCTCCAGATTGGCCTCGGCCTCTATCCCATCCTGTATCCTCCCCCCTTTTTCTGCTGTTGTTCTTGTTTGCCCTGTTGCAGATTCTTGTGTTGCCTGCCGAGAGTTCTCCTGCTCCTCTTTCATTCAATGAGGACCAACTTAAAACCCTAATTAATAAATCTCCTGGACGCTGCTGCCCTATGAAGGGGCCAGGGATAAAGGAAGTGCTTCAATTCAAACATTTTGCTGGCATTCTGGCTTGTTTGATAAATGTGTGATCTCATTGCACAAAATGCTCTTGATTGTTCTAAACATCCTAAGCACAGTACACTAATAAAAGAAACTATTAAGCATAGGTCCCTCTGCAGGGTGAGAAAAGCCCCACAAATATTATAGCCACATATGTGCCTAATAGAAAATAGTTTAGATAGAGATTAGCTGGCGACTTCTTGCAGGTAGTTAACTTTTAGACTAAGAGCCTGTTTTGTGCCATATCTGCTGTTTTTGCAGTCCTTCGCATTTCTGTTTTGTTAAAAATGTAATCCTATCTAGTTCCCATAGAGATGACGCCTATTAGAAAGAAAACAGATTAATTATAGGAAAAACAGGGTCGGCTACTTAAGTTGCTTAAGTCACACCAGGTGCAAGCCATAAAATGTTAGCAGGCCTGAAGGCCAAATGATAAGAAAGACTCTTGTGAATGAAAAAGTATGTGGGTGACATCCTGTTTCTGTTGAAGGTCAAGTTGCTGTAATGTTTTGAGATGACCTGTGTGTAAACAATATGCACTTCCCCCCAAAAGATGTTGTTAAGGGTATAAAGGGGCCGTGCAAAAATAAACTTCAGACTTAGCCCCCGAGCTCTGTCTCACTCTCTCTCTCATTTGCCGATGCCGTTCATCCTGAGGGTTCCCCTGGATCCTGCTGGGGCTAGACCCCTGCAGTGGAAGGGGTCGCAATGAGTCAGACACAACTGAGCATGCATGCACTGATGTCCCCTACTATCAGAGCCCTTTTCTTTCCTACTACCCTTATTCAAACATTTGCAGTCTCAATCTTTGGCTTATTAAAGATTAAAACTCACTGGTACTTTCCATGTGAGTTCCCATGGTCTTTCCTCTGTGCCTGAGTTCTAACTTCCTCTTATTACAAAGAGACTAGTAGTTTGTGCTAATAATCTCACTTTAACTTAATTACCTCTTTAAAAATCCTACCTCCAAATACAGTCCCATTCTGAGGTCCTGGGAGTTAACATTTCAACTTAAAAATTTCAGGGGATGTAATTCTGCCCATTACATGGGCACAAATGTCCCCATTCACCTCTAAACTCATGTAGCAGTGTGAGTGAAATACACCATGCTCCATGAAAGGTCGCCACGAAGTTCTTGTGAGTCAAGAAAATGTTGAACAAGAGCAGCTCCAATCTCAGGGCCCCTTTGCCCCAGTTACTCCTGGACCTCTCTGCACTCACACAGTCCACTATCCCTTGGGAGTCTTGGCCACTTAGACTGTCCCCTCCTCCCACAAATGCACCTCCTCCAACCATGTGCCCCAGAAAGAGATACAGAATCAACACTCAGCTTGTTCCTTCTGACCTGAGCATAGCATTACCAAGGCCAAGAATTCCCTTTCCTAAATGTGACACTGAGCTCCTTCCACCCAGTGGTTACCACCTATGTGGGTCTAATGCTGA